AAAGTATACCATTCGACGCGCCTGAGCCAGGCGAACACGATGGTGCCAAAATCGCTGCTCTGCGGCCATTTTTGGCGAAATTATTTGCCAAAAACCAAACCCTACCTTGGGCTTTTTGACTTCACCTCAGAGGTTACCGGTTGACCTGGGACCTTAAAATCGGGTATCAATCGTTCCGCCTTGAAACGGCGCACACGCTTGTTTTTTTCCGCGAGGCTCTAGCTCCATTAGGGGCGAAACGGCAAAAAGGGGTCGTACCAACCCTCCCCCCCTCGGCCGGCCGAGGGGGTGGGGGGTCCGACAATAGGTCCGGCGAGGATTAAGCAGCCCCACTTCGTTTTTAGCATGTTTGCTTGTCACTGAGATCAACAACTCAATCACAAATAATTTCTAGCACTTTTCCGGACCCCCGGCCCAGTGTGCGCCGGCCGCCGGGCGGCCGGGCGGCCGTGCGTCGCTTCCCAACACTTGTCCCCCCCCCCCCAACTTGGGAGCCGAGGGGGCGGCGCCCCCTCAACATTGAGGCAGCGAGAAAAGGTCTTTCCTCCCTTTTCCGGACTTCTTTCCTTCTTGTTTCCTTTACACATCTAAACATCAACACGCGGCATTTTCCTTGCCATCTGAATGGTTTCTGCTGATAAAGTATCGATTTGACAACATCTGCTATTGCCATCCCGCTTTGATTTGGGCCTGACCTTGGCCATAAGCTTGGCAGGCCAGTTTTATACTGGACCATTTTCAGTCAACTTTGAGAAATGCATAACGTACAACGGTGGTAAAATCGTTGCTATAGGTATAACACAGTTTACCCGCTCCAGGTGTGAGGGAGGGGTGTGGGGCAATGAGTGCACTGACGTGGCGCCCTCGGTATGGGATGGGATGCACGGGATACATTAGAGGGCCGGTATGGGATCAAAGCTTAGCGACACTAAGGGCTTATGTGGTGCCTTCGGTTATCGGCAGCACCCTCAGAATCACCGGCGTAGGGCGCTCAGAGCCGCCGGTAAGGGGCCTTTAGAGGTACCGGTGTGGGGCCGTCATGCAGGTGCCGGTGTGGGCGCTCAGAGGTGCTAGTGTGATTCTCTCAGAGGCGCCGATGAGGGTCCTTACAGGCGTTGCTGTGGGCCCTCATGACGCTGGTGTGGAGCCGTTACAGACGGGTGTGGGGGCTTTAGAGCTGCTGACGCGAACTCTCTACAAGCCGGCAGGGGGTCTCAGTGACCGGCAAGGGGTCCTTAGGCCGGCAGAAGAAGTCCTGTGGGGTCCTTAGAGACCGGCATGGTACTGTCAGACGCCGATGGGGCCCTCAGACTCACCGATGTGGGACCCTCAAAAGTCACCAGTGGGTGGCCTTCAGATGCACAGGTGTTGGTTGGGTCCTCAGAGCCGCCGATACAGGGCTTAATTTTAATAGGCACTGGTGTAGGCACTCAGAGTTGGGGGTGTGAAACCCTCAGACACCGGTGTGGGCCCTCATAGGCGCCAATGAGGGCCCCATAGTTGCCGTTATGGGGCCCTCAGAAAAATAAGTGTGGGACCATCACACCTGCGGGAAATGCCCCTGGAACTGGCCCCTCATAGGCCGGTAAGGACTCTCAGAGGCCAGTAACGGGCCTTTGGAGACCACCGAGGTGCCCTGAAAAGGCGCAAGAGGCGCTCAGAAGCCGGCGTGGGCCCTTATGGAGATCTTAGTGTGGCTATTTAGGGCCCATGAGGTGCTCTAACGAGCCCCATGGGGCGTCAGCGGTTTGACCTTCAGCGGTCAAATGGCGCCGCAGGGCCCCTCGGACCCGAAGGTCCCTTTGAACCCGATGGGGGGGGGGGGGGTACGTGTCCCCTTAGACCCCTAGCTACGCCACTGTTTCATATGCATCATGTCAGGTATTTTAGGCTCGCCCCCCCCCCCCCAACTTGAAAATCGTTCCCGGGCCCCTGTCTGAGGAGTTGAATCAGTGAGCCAGATTGCCAGCGACTCACCGCTGAACTACCGGGCATAACAAAACGGACGATGCGACATGACTCAGAGATCATCACAGACGCAACGACAAATGTAACCGAAGGCCATCTGAGCTCGTGCGGAACCCTCGTTCAGATACGTGATATCGCTATCTGCCACCTCGCAGTTCCCTTGTCAAGCCGAACTCATAGGCGGCGGAACGGGGAGGGCACCGCGGCACCGTTCCCCCTTTGATTTTGGCATTTTAACATTAGCCCTATGGGCGTTGCATGGAAAGAATGGGACCAAAAGTCGGCAGTGCCCCCCTTAATTGAAGGTATTCCGCCGCTACTGGCCGAACTGATGACACGCAATGGCCAGTCAGTCACAGCTCAGCTTCCTGCGGAACAGGAAGAACATTCAGTGAGAGTCGGTGGTCATTGACTGTGTCAATATTATTGACACGGTGACTAAAGAACGGTTATATTGCGCCAATAATGTTGCCAGTAGCAGCACCACCAATCTTTTGAACTAAAATCACTTGACATCGGTGAAAAGAAACCCTCTAGCTTTTTCTTCAAGCAATACGCGAAATAGAGGGGATTAGAAAAACCAAAAACCCAAATATTAGCACTAGATAACATCGATCTTAAATTTTGGCCAACATCCTTAAAGCATACATCAGAGGAGCTGTTGGCGGCTTACCGTCGCGTCTGTGATGATCTCTGAGTCATGTCGCATCGTCCGTTTTGTTACGCCCGGTAGTTCAGTGATGAGTCGCTGGCAATCTGGCTCACTGATTCAACCCCTCAGACGCCGGCGGGCTGTGTGGCGAATCACCTTTTACAAATGTGGGGTATTGATAGCGTCATTCAGCATATGTCGGTAGGCGCTAATACAGAGATTTTTGGTGATAACCTGTTTGTTTTCAGGGCGATGGAATCAGATGATATAGCTCCCATATAGGAGATAGTGAGGTTGTTGATGGTAGGTATCTGAAGAGTGTTGTTTCCCAACTCAGAATAATTGTAATGTGCCATCGATTGTACCTTTTACCGCAACCCTGTCGATACCTAGGTATAGGTATTAGAAGGCTTGCCTGAGCTAATGGTCTTTCAAATAGAGAAAAAAGTCCTTCACTTATTAACCCGGCAGTTGCTGGGGTATTTCGCCACCCACCGTTTGCTGGGGGGGGGGGGGCGTTAAACGCCCCCAGCCGATAACTCGAGAACCAATAAGCGCAGCGAAACGCACTAGGCGGCAAACGAAAGAGCGCGACGAGACGCTTCAGATGAGTACTTTAAAGTTGAATTTTGAGGTCACAGGTCGGGTCAAGGTCAGGTCAAACACCTGAAATCGGGCTTTCAGGAGCATGGACTTCAGGACTTCGCAATGGGCGCCTCTCGCCATAAACTCTGTCAAAACGGTGCACAATCCATCTTATAAGGCCTACAAGAGTGTCAGCTCCATATAGGGGTCAGTCAAGCATAGGTCAGGGTCAAGGTCAGGTCAACCAGGTAAGCACATATCCCCGAAAATCAAAACTGATATTCGCAGCCTGTGACACATGTTTTATAGGTAATTTGGGGCGTAGAACACGATGGTGACATTCATTTTATCATATGTGTACGTGTTTGGCTCAAAAAGTTCAATTTAAGAAATTCATGTATCATGGTCGTGAAGTAGTCACGAAAAATTGCCAAGATTCAGTTCAAGATTTTGGAAAATGCGGAACGATAATCAATAATCGAAGATAGCCATTTGATTAATCATGGTATTGGCAGTCTAATGGCGTTTACGGCATGTCTGTATGTCTATTCCTTGATTTTATATGATTTTTTGAACATATGCCGTTTTTGGTCGAAAGCTCAGAAATCATGACGTCACTAAAACCTCGATATCTCAAAAATTTTCCGACCGATTTTTTTGAAACTTTGTCACAATAAACTTCAATCAATTCCCTACAGGTACCCAAAATTTGGCGCGCCTGCGGCGCGCCGTTTTTATGCTATGGCCCGGCGAAAAAAGTGGGGGCGTTTAACGCCCCCCCTCCCCCAGCAACTCGCGGTTTAAAATCGTTAGGCATGCTGGTTCTGTTGCTCACCCCTTATCTACAGGCTACAGCATCGACGCGGCACACGTCTTGGTGATTCCTGCTCTGTTCCTCCTGTTTCGTTTTTTAGCCGTCAACCTTGAAATTTACCACTTTCCTAACAACTCAACAGGAAAAAATGGAACGCGATATTTGGGAAAAATGTATGTTTCCGAATTGTTTTATTTCTTCTTAAGCAGTATGAACAAAAATAGAAGTCATTTCTCATTTGAAACTACCCCAATTATCACGATATGATAGTGCCCGTTATTGGCAATGTAGGTGGCAGCACCGTCGACTGCGACTTTTTCGCTGTAACTTTGACCTGCCCGAGCCCCGTCAAATCGCATTTTTACGCAAAACCAACTGCAGGGCTAGTGTTTTGGCATGCTCGCGCCAATTTATATCTTTGTCTAACGCAAATCTGTGAGAAAAACCCCTCTGTCAACACACCCTAGTGGGCATGCCACCCCCCAGTGTACGTACATACATCCCCCATAATACTCACTGCACCCGGTTAGGGGCGTTCTCCTATGGGAGCTTCCCGCTTGGGATAAAGTTGCCCGTCCAGCCCGGAGCAGGGGGTTGAGGAGTGGAGGAATAGTATTTGAATGTCCTGAGGTTGGAAACGACGGCACGGTGAACTTTGTCTATGCTGTGACCTGTGGTGTCCAACACTGACGGGATACCTGACTGTAAATAGGTATTGCAAAAGGATTACATTGCTTAGCGAAAAATAGAAAAGCTGTTCGTTATGCGTATACATGTGAGGAACACATGTCCATACATGGTTCATGAACACCGAACGCATGTATCATGCGGTGTGTCCTAGCGCTCCTAGAGTTGAATATTAATATGCGGTAGGACACCAGCATGATAAATGTAATTTACCAGCTTATTGTATCAAATGAAAACGGAGAAACGCCTCAGTCATGATGCGCGTGTTCTAACACGACACCTTCTTGGCTGCAGGTGCTGCCCGCTACCGACCGGTCGTCGCTCATCAACGACGCGTTCGCGTTGGCCGGCGCTGGCCACGTGTCCTACAGCGTGCCCCTGCGTCTGGCTTCGTACCTGAGCTCCGAGCGGCACTACATTCCCTGGAAGACGGCCGTGGACGAGCTGACCGGGCTGCAGTACCGGCTGCGCTACACGGAACTGTATGGAGACTTCAGGGTGAGTATAGTAGTCTGGCCGCGCTACAGTACCGGCTGCGCTACACGGAACTGTATGGGGACTTCAGGGTGAGTATAGTAGTCTGACACCGCTGCAGTACCGGCTGCGGTACACGGAACTGTATGGGGACTTCAGGGTGAGTATAGTAGTCTGACACCGCTGCAGTACCGGCTGCGGTACACGGAACTGTATGGGGACTTCAGGGTGAGTATAGTAGTCTGACACCGCTGCAGTACCGGCTGCGGTACACGGAACTGTAATGGGGACTTCAGGGTGAGTATAGTAGTCTGACACCGCTGCAGTACCGGCTGCGGTACACGGAACTGTATGGGGACTTCAGGGTGAGTATAGTAGTCTGACACCGCTGCAGTACCGGCTGCGGTACACGGAACTGTATGGGGACTTCAGGGTGAGTATAGTAGTCTGACACCGCTGCAGTACCGGCTGCGGTACACGGAACTGTATGGGGACTTCAGGGTAAGTATAGTAGTCTGACACCGCTACAGTACCGGCTGCGGTACACGGAACTGTATGGGGACTTCAGGGTGAGTATAGTAGTCTGACACCGCTGCAGTACCGGCTGCGGTACACGGAACTGTATGGGGACTTCAGGGTAAGTATAGTAGTCTGACACCGCTGCAGTACCGGCTGCGGTACACGGAACTGTATGGGAACTTCAGGGTGAGTATAGTAGTCTGACCGCCGTGCTACAGTACCGGCTGCGGTACACGGAACTGTATGGGGACTTCAGGGTGAGTATAGTAGTCTGACACCGCTGCAGTACCGGCTGCGGTACACGGAACTGTAATGGGGACTTCAGGGTGAGTATAGTAGTCTGACACCGCTGCAGTACCGGCTGCGGTACACGGAACTGTATGGGGACTTCAGGGTGAGTATAGTAGTCTGACACCGCTGCAGTACCGGCTGCGGTACACGGAACTGTATGGGGACTTCAGGGTGAGTATAGTAGTCTGACACCGCTGCAGTACCGGCTGCGGTACACGGAACTGTATGGGGACTTCAGGGTGAGTATAGTAGTCTGACACCGCTGCAGTACCGGCTGCGGTACACGGAACTGTAATGGGGACTTCAGGGTGAGTATAGTAGTCTGACACCGCTGCAGTACCGGCTGCGGTACACGGAACTGTATGGGGACTTCAGGGTGAGTATAGTAGTCTGACACCGCTGCAGTACCGGCTGCGGTACACGGAACTGTATGGGAACTTCAGGGTGAGTATAGTAGTTAGATGTGGCGTCTGACAGCTCTGTACAGACCACAGACTGCAGACTGCAGTTACATAAAACTGCATGGCAACTTAAAGGGTGAGCCAGGGCTACTTCGTTAAAAAGCTGCTAGTCTGATTCATCACTAACTTCTCCCACTTGGTGTTCTGCGATGTTTACACAGAACTGCCCCCTGGCTTCCGTCATGAATGCGCCTATAATTGTTCGTGATGAGCGTCAAGAACGCCACATAAATGATTTTCAGAGCTGCGTTTAGATGAATGTCCCCATCTATTTCAGAAATATATTCTGGAGCTGGTGGGACCTCACTTTGACTCGCTGGGATGGGAGGACGTCGGATCTCACCTGGAAAAGTAAGCACTCAAACTTTTATCGGGCTACCAGTGGCGATTTTTTATTCACATGGCTACGTCCATGCTGCTAGTCTTATATACGAATCAAGCATAAAATCAATGCACCGTTTACAAGAAATCTTACCCGTTACGATGGATAACTTTTCTTTCCCTTTCCCCATGGGCTCTTTTCCCGAAGTTTGGCCGGCCTACCGGCTCATTGTTCTCAATATTTTTTTCCGAAGTACGAACTCTTACCCTTCTTTTTATTCTTTACGCAACCCTGTCATTTTTGTTGTTCTGACCAGCGTGCATATAGTTAGTTTTGTGTGTTTTATGGAACTTTCCCGGCCCCAATCAACCCCCTCCCCACTTTGACCGTCACGTCTGTGCATCCCAGACGGAACCGCGTACAGCTTCTGAAAGCCGCCTGCCGCGCTGGCCATCCCGGCTGTCTGCAGGGCGCCGCCGACGCCCTGCAGCAGTGGCTCGACGACCCGCAGCACTACATCTCGCCCAACCTGCGGTCGCTGGTCTACAAATACGGCATGGAGCAAATCAGTGAGTAACAAGTACCAGGTAGAGGGTTAACCCGCGCCCCACTGGGGGGGGGGCTATTCATAGCCCCCCTCCCGTTTTTCTGCAATAACTTCTAAACCGATTGACGTATCGACGCCAAACTGTCAGTACCTTCGGCTGCATCGATTTGACACCTTGTGTCAAAATTTAAACTTCATAGCTACCATAGGTCGGCCGGAAATGACGTCAGAGTGACGTCATGTTCGGCCGATTTCGACGCAAAACATTGAACCACGGCAATCGCTCCCAAGGGCTCAGTTTTTAAGCTAGATCCAATTTCTTTGCATGAGAGGACTCAGAATAGACTGTGCTATCAAACTGCTCTCTCGAATTTTTGAAATTTTGAAAATTTCGAAAATTTCATATAATTAAATTTAAAATTTACATTTTTACATTTTTTTTTTCAAAAACTTTTTGACTTTTCGAAAAGCCGGAATATATGTGATAGAACGCGTTATTATGACTAACTCTAGCAAGTTTTAGCTAAATATCTTCAAAAATGGCCAAGTTATAGGTACGCATTATTGCAAAAAATTCACAATTATTAATTTTTCAAATCAATTTTTCAGCACGTATTTGACATCGTACGCCAATATAAATAGCACCATCGTGTTCCTGAGCTCAAACTGCATCCAAAAGATACCTTTTCTGTTGAAAAAAATATAACTTCAAAATTTGACCTTTTTTGACCTGAAAGTGACCTGACCTAAGCTAAATTCGACTCAAAATGACCCCGAATGACACAGACGACATCAAATGCGAAACCTTTGGCCTAAATGGACCATAAAACATGTGTCACGTGACCGACGCATGATATAATATTTTCGTGACCTGTGATGACCTGACCTTGACCTGAAAATCAGAGTGCAAGTTTGGTACCCTTAGGATATCTAGAGCATCTATTCACGAGTGTGTGAACCAAAAATGAGCCTGATCTGACTTGTAAGACGGCGGCCAGAGCCCAAAACGTGAACAAGCCAAAATGCTAATAATTTTTACTTTGACCTGACCTGTGACGTCATCGGTGACCTCGAGGTCAATGAAATTAGGTTTCGCTCGACAGTTTTTCCGGGGCTATCAGACGCCGTTTGAATTTTGACGATCGGCCCAGTAGTTTTGGAGTTAGGAGGGGGGGCTATGAATAGCCCCCCCCCCCCAGTAGGGCGTGTTATACGCAGACCCCAGTGGGGCGCGGGTTAATCGATACTCGGGTACTGGGTGCCGAGTACTGAGTAGGTACTAAGTACCGAGGAGGATAGGTACTGGGTGACGAGTACTCAGTGCAGAGTGCCGAGTATAGAGTATGAATACTGAGTTCACCAAGTACCTGCTCGTCAACAAAATACTTTGTGTCGAATGCTGAATGTCCCACACTGATGAGAAGAACCGAACATTGATGGTCAAGTACACTATTAACCCTCGCCCCGCTGGGCTATTCAGCCATACGCGCCCTGCTGGGGGGGGCAGATTCTGCCCCCCCCCCGTCTAACTTCCGAACCGATGGTCGTAGAAAGACGGGGAAAACGGCAATCGAAAGCTCTCAACAAGGCGGATCTTAAGAGCCCAAATTTGTTTGCTTAAGTAGGTCAGAGGTCAGGTCAAGGTCAGGTCAAGGGTACAAGATGCAAGTTTCTACAGTATCGGCCTTGCACCGTAGTTGCCGAGGAATGAACTGAGACTGATTGCCCAAAAGGTGTTCTTAGACTACCAAGACAATATTCGTTGCATACAATGTCATTCAAAGGTCAAGGTCAAGATCAGGTCAGGTCAGGTCAGGTCACCAAAAACAAAATATAGAAAAGGGCATGTGCGACACATGTTTTATGGGTCATTTTACTCATAGAATTCAATAAGCACACTCAATAAGTGATATGGACCACCTCTGGATGAATTTCAGGTCGAGGTCAGGTCAAGGTCAGGTCAAGTGAGGTCAAATTTTGAAGTTGGTTGTTAAGGCCTGAAAAGTGTCTATCTGATGCAGTTTTTCACGGCAAATCGAATGGTGCTATTTTTGTTTCCGTACGAGTTCTAGAACTTCCAAAAAAAATCATTTTTCCAAAATTTTGTGTGTCGTGACGTCACACAATTTTGAATAACTCCCACATTTTTGAACCGATTCTTCTAAAAAATTGGTATGTTAGTGCACATAGACCACTTCTCTGACATATATTCCTTTTTTTATACACTCAAAATTTTGGATTTTATAATTATTTTTCCAAAAAAGTCAGTTTTTTGAAAAAAATTTGGGCCAAAATCCAAAGTTTTTAAAAAACCGAGAAAGCCATTTGATAGACAAAGTAGAATCACGTATAACATTTTTTGTTACGTCACCCTTTAAAAATGTAGATGTTAGCGGCGTTTGAAATTTTGCCGTTTTTGAGGCGAAAATGGCGAACATGACGTCACTAAAACGTCAATTTCTCAAAAAAAAATTCCGACGGATTACGCTCAAATTTTCAGGGAACGTGTCAAATTGATGTATGATAAGGTACTGAAAGTTTGACGTCGCTGGCGTAACGCGTTTAGAAGTTATTGGCGAAAAACGGGAGGGGGGCAGATTCTGGCCCCCCCCCCCCCCCCCAGCGGGGCGCGGGTTAAGCATCGAGTAGGTACAAAGTATAATGAGTTCAGTGGCGTATCCAGGATCTTGAAAAGGGGGAGGCCAAACCTGCTCAAGGGGCCCCACCCTTACCTTAGGGGCCCCAGTAGTGGCGTACTTAACCCACGCCCAAGTGCGGTTCTTTGCCTTTTTCACCCATGTGAGGGAGCCTTTTTAGGCACACTCGGCAATCTAAAAAAGAAAAGAAAAACGTGAAAAAGCCATTGATATCGATAGCGCTGTATGTAGTGTATGATTTATTTCAGAAGTAGGCATACAGTTTTTTTTTTTTTTGCTTTAGTCGTCGCCAAGGCCACTAAAGATTATCAAAACCAAATGTTTTTGTCATTTTTTTACGATTGTAACATTTTTTCAAAGGGCAGATGTCAATCTCTTAGTGGCTTGCGCTGTTTGAGGGCTGATACCCTTAACTTTGAAGGGCCCAACTCGGGTTGAGCTCTGATCTAGACTCTGATAGCCCTATGTTGTCCACATTGGCCAATGGCCTCACTCCGACCTCTGAAGGCTCATTCTGGCCTCTGAAAGCCCCACACCGGCAACAGAGTGAACCTCGCTGGCCTCCGGGTCCCATAATGGCCTCAGGAGACCCATGCTATGGCTGACCTCATAGGGCCCCCCGCTGGCTCTTGGGAGTCTTTGAGTCAGTCTGACGACCTTATGCCGCTCTCGAACCCACGCCGGTCTCTAGAAGCCCATGATGCCCCCTGAGGGTCCCACGCCGGCCTTTAAGGGCCACTCCTACCTCAGGGGGCCAAAACATGCATAAGTCCTGAAAAGTAGCTGCCGAGGCCCTCGAGGTGGCCTCTAATGGCCCGACGCCAGCCTATGAAGGCCCGCGCTGGCTTCTGAGGGCCCAGTACCAGACTCTGAAATCTGAAGTCAGATGACAGATGGTCCCACGCTGCCCTCAGATGGTTCACGCTGGTCACAGAGTGCCTTACACTGGCCTAAAAGGGCTCCACATTGTCTTCAGAGGGCCCCAAGCTAGTCTCGGTGGCCAATGGGCCTCAGTCTGACCTAAGAAGGCCCCATGTCGCTGGGCTTAAAAGATCCCACGCTGAACATAGACGGCCCCATGCTGGACATAGAGGGTCCCACACTGGCCTTACAAGGCCCCACACTGGCCTTAGAAGACCCACAATGGCCTTAGAGTCTAGAGGGCCCCATGCTGGCCTTAGAGGGCTGAGCGCTGGCTCCTTAGGGCTCTACACCAGCGTCAAAGGATCCCACGCTCGAGTCTAAGCTTGTTTAGGGCCACCAAAGCGACCTCTGAGGGCCCACGCTAGCCTCTGGGGGCTCGGCCTTAACACGCGCAGTGGAAGGGGGGGGCGGATTTCGCCCACCCCTCCTGTTTTTCGCCAATAACTCGAACCGCAAACATGATATTAATGTGAAATTTTGGCTACCTGTCCAGAATTGAACTGCGGATCTTCTCGTGCAAGATTTAAAAAAATCGGGTCACAACTTTTCTAGTAATAGCGGTGTAAAGTCAAACATCCTGCCGCCGCGGCGGCGCGGCGGCGCGGCGGCCGGCGCTAGCCGTTACGCGCCGCCTGAATTGTAGACTGTGCCGGGGCGGGACTGTTCCGTCTTTACATCGCGCTCCTTACCGCTGATTATGTTCGATTCGCGTCAAATTTTGTGAGAAGACTAAGAAATGTACAGGCAATCTTATGGTCAAAGAATTTTGAAAATCAGCCGGTAACAACTTGAGTTATGAGTGTGTAAACACAAAATTGTGATTGCCGCGTTTCCCGCGTCCGCCGATCCCGCCTCAGCAGGCGACATCTTACGCTTAGCAGGCTTCTAGTTCTAACTGCCATATTTATTGTTGGATTAACAAGAAATTCACCATACATACTTACAAATGTATGTTCTTTCGTATAGTGAAAGAAAAAAGAAAATCGGCCGGTAACTTTTTGAGTTATCGGCGTGTAAACGCAAAAAAGTCGCTTATATGGCAAATTTGACCACTTTTGACCTCATTTGACCTTGAAGATATTGACCTAGGGTCATGAAATTCACACACAACAGAGTTCCCCTGGGCCCTCACCTACCCTCCAAATTTCGTCTTTCTAGCTCCAGTGGGAGCTGAGATCTTAGGGGGGGGGGGCGACATCCGCCCCCCCCTTCCACTGGGCGTAGTACTCGCAACCCTTCCACTGCGCGTGTTAAGCCTCTGAGGGCCTATGAGTATGAGGGCCATCAAATGGCATTTTAAGATAGTTTGACGCAGTTTGACTTTATTTATGCTTGGGCCAGTACTTTAGATGAGGCCCTGAAGGTCGTTTCTCTTGGGACACTCAAGCAGGCACGTACCCAGGATTTCGCCCTGAGGGGGCCACCTGCTCTCAAAGGGGCC